AGCATTAATCACGTGGGAATTACATTGCAAAAGTTGTTATTCTTTGTTTAATCAAATTCATGAAAAGAACAAGAATAATTATTCAAATTCTAGTCTTGATTAACACAAGAATACTATGTGAATTAAATTAACCAAAAGTTTGTTAAAAGTGATCAAACAACACTATTTATTCAATTAAATTTATTTAAACAATAAAATAAAAGTTATTTATCTAAGTGCTCAGGAAACTAATCGTTCTTCTTATATGTTAAATCTCTGTTTAATGCGTTTATGGACTTTCTTTCTTCTTCGTACCTCAAAGGACTTCAATGGATTTAATTAGGGTCGGAAAGTATTTAGGAAGAGAGAAGAAAAGTAATATGATAGTAAGAAAACTTGGGAGATTAGGGTTTTGAGGATGCTAAGGTTAGAATTCTGATTTATCGGTCCCTTTCGAGTTGAACAAGACCCAATTTATAGGCGTAGGAATCTAGGTTTAGGGTTTTAGAGCCGCACCTTCAGGTGGCGCGTGCAACTCTCTGAGTCGCTATGGGCTCCTCGCGCATCTCAAAGACTTGCGCGCCCCAAGCTCGCGCAACTCACTGAGTTGCGCTGGATGTGGTTTGCCTTAAACGAAAATGCGTTTTTAAATTTTCCATAACTTTTGATTGCAAAGTCAAATTAAGACGTGTGAGATATAATTGGAAATATCTGAATATCTACTTTCTAATGCCGTTATAATTAGGTTAAAATATTTTATGGATCAAATGATATGGCTGTTGGAGTGAAAGGGTGTCGATTTTAGGGCCCGATTTAGTGTTTTGAGCATAACTTTTTCATTTTAGCTCGGAATTGGGCTTATAATATACCGTTGGAAAGTTCTTTGAAAGGGATATCTATCTTATAAGCCATGAACGAAAATATGATGGTTGGTTTATCTGTTTGAATCGGTTTTCAACAATGTAAGATCCATTGGATCGAATCAATTCATTTGCCACATTTAGGTCCATTATTAATCAAATTTAAACATGTATGAGCATGCTTTAGGCCTAATTAATAATCAGACAAGGCTTCAAGATAGCTTGGTCTCAAAATATGAGTTTTGCTAACTTACTTCATAATGCATTTCGTAGTCTATAACACTTCCACTTTGATCTAGCATGAAGAACGGGTTTTTGAATCATCATCGCACTTCCTTTCATGAAAAAAGGCCAAAAGTAGGTGTCTACACTTGATTCCCTTCATTGTAGGGCTGCTTGCAGCAAAGCCGCCTGATATGACGGCCACAAAACAAAGAATCAGTGCTATTTCCATCATCTTCTTTGTCATTGTTCTTTTTCTTCTCGGATTTGTTGTCTGTTCGAGTGTACATGAATTTTGACTTCAAGACGTATGAATTCAACATGCCCTTTTCATCCATATTATCCAGCAATTTTTTCAAGTTAATAGATTCATTTGTGTTATGTCCCACGTCCTTGTGGTAATGACAGTACTTGTTTTTGTTGTGCTATTGAGCCGAGCCCTTCAGCGGTTGGGGCTTCTCGAACTCAAATTTATCTTTGATTTCCATTAGGATTGAGTAACAATGCTTGTTGAACTCATACTGAGGCTCGTACGTCTTGGCCTTTTTGACTTCGTCTGCTGGCTGTCGGCCACCCAAACTTCCTTTCGTTTAATGTTTCCTTCTATTTTTTCTTCCTGACCGAGTCTTGCTGAGAAGGTTACTTCTTCTCAGCTCCCTTGGCTGGTTGTTCAGCTTTAGTTAGGGAGCAAAAATTTGATGCTTCAATGTAGGCGTCGACCTCTCGCAGCACGCCTGCGTACGTTCGAACCTTTTTCTTGACCAGATCAAACTTGAAACCATTGTGCCTTAATCCCAAGAGAAATTCCGAATAGGCCACTTCGTCCGGCATATTATGAATTTTGGGCTTTCTCTTGATTGAACCTCTAGACGTATGAACGTAACCCCTCAGTATTTCCTTGGATGATCGTTGCCAAGTTCAGGCTGGTCTTCCTTGGGGAATATTGTGCGAGAATTTACCAACAAACAATAGACTAAGAATGGTAAAGCAGTTGATGCACGCGGCCGACAGGCTATTAAACAAGTCCTGCACCACGCCCTTAAGGGTGGCCGGGAAGTACCTGCACCATGTGGCATCATCCACACTTTGCAAATACATCAAATTTTTGTACAAAGTAACGTGCTCTTCTGGGTTTCCCGTACCTTCGTAGGCACCCAAAAGTACACTTTTAACCTTTGCTGGTTGGGGGAGTTAAGGATTTCCTGAGAAAACGGAGGTGGCTTGTCACCGAGATTTAACAAGCACATTTTCCAATCAATGGGTTGAGGTTGAGCGGCCGGTCCGGCCAGGTAGGCTGTCTGGTCGAACGGCTGGCCATATTTCCCAACTGTCCAAAACAGGGGGGTTAGGCGGCAAAAATGCATTGAAATTCTAGGGCGTTTGATATTGAAACGATTGAATTGGAATAGGAGTTTGAGTAGAATGAGCTTGACTCCTACTGATCCTGGTCGAGATGGTATTCTTTGAGGGGGTATGGTTTGAGAAATCAACCGGCATAGTTGGCGTAGAGGCGGTGTCCGAATAGGTTATTCGCTCACGCTACTATGTCCTATGTACTCCCTTGCATCCTTCCAACGCCGAGACGGCTCATTTATCTTCTTCAGAGGTTGTCTGGTCTGCCCCCCAGCCAACTGTATTTTCTCGAGGAGCCTAGACATATCCGTCTGCAGCACCCTCGGTGAACGTTCATGTCGGCGGAATGGGTATTCCCAGCGTCTCCAGCACTGACCACCTTGCTCTAGGTCTTCTTTTGAATGTCATCTCCTCTTCTTCTGGGCAGTATCCTAGAAGAAGAAGGCATCTTACCCTCAAGCTCCCTTCGGAGCTTGCTCAAGGCGAGCTTAAGTGAACCAGCAGTTACTGGAGGATCCTTGGCCACATGAAATGAAGCTATCAGAGGATCACTAGAATTGATTGTTGCAACTATATCCTTTACATGTCCGTCCTCACCAGGACCAGGACCTGCATTAGGTTTCTGACCATCTGTTGCCATAACGGACGAATATCCCCACATATGGCGCCAAATGTTTCAGGGTTTTTTGGAATCCCTTGGGATACCGTTCGCACTCCACGGACAGGATGTCTAGGACACCTACAAAACACAAATATTCCATTGTTGGAATATTCGGCTATGAAGGTTAAGTTAGTAACCGGAATTCGGAAAGCTAGAGAGAGAAAGTAGAGAGAAGTTAGATTTGTTTTTATGCTCTATTAAATGTTATGTCTTAAATCCACCCCTCCCATAATAAATGATTGGGGTATTTATAGGGGTGGGGAATGATGCCCCTTTTAGGGTTAGTTACCTAGGGTGGCGTGCTTTGATTAGCGGCGCAATCAGGAGAGGGCACATGTCCCCTAGGGGCGCCGTTTTGCGGCAATATAGGAACTTGAGCCTCCTGATGTAAGGAGACCTTCATTCCTCATTTTCTTTTGTCAGGTGCTCTCATTTTTAACACGTGTCATTATCCTATAGGGACATGTGTTGCCTCTTTTTTTAGGCTACGTGTCTCTATGAGACTGGACTACGTAATTGGGGTATGTTTTTACCTTAAACACGACCTTATATAATTCTTCAAATCTACATTACCCATTAGGTAGATTATCTATGACTAGTACAATATTAAAATTTCACTAATTATGTTGAGTTGGATTCCATTATCACTACTCTTTACACTAACATTTATATGTGACTGATCACATGGTATAGCCAACCACCATAAGGTTACTTAAAAGGTTTACTCTGTTAATATTATAGATGTTTGGGCAAAGTCCATTGTCCTAATCCCATTGTCCTAGAATTACCATGATCCAGCCCATCATTAGTCAAAGCAAAGTACGGATTTACCCCTAATCTGTCCAATTAAGTACAACTTCTGCCACATGAAAGTACATCTATAAATAGCTCTCCAATCATTAATGATGGTAACTTTTTCCTAATTCTCTAACCTTCTCTCTCTACTTTCTCTCTCTAAAGTACTCCTTCTCTCTCTACTTTCTATCTCTAGAAAGTACATTCGCTAACTTAAGCATCGGAGGGGCTTTCCCGGGTCACACCCCCGAGGTAGTTAACCTTCTTTCTCTTTTGCAGGCCTAGCTCTCGGACAGCAAGGCATAGCTGAGGGAAATTTAGACATACATTAGATATAGATCTAGGATATCTTGATTACCCTAACACCGAGGAGTATTCTGTTTCCGAAAAAAGGTGGTGTCGTCTGTGGGGATAACTAACAAGAAGTCATTGTGAACACTAGGCGTCCCCGCAGCACTCATCAAGATGCTACTAGGCAAGCTCCAATTCTCTCGGTTAGGCATGCTCACATAGTCTAGGAGATGATACCCCAAGCTTGTAGTGAACCCGAGAGAGAAGTGAATAGCCCCCAGGTAGTCACTCGCCGAGACTTGGACCAGTTGGCAGCCCAGATCAATAGAAACCTGGAGGAAAGCCTCAGGGCACTTGTCAACCAGGGGGTGGGTCAAGGCAGGCAGGGGAACGCTCCACAGCCTATCCCTCAGCCTCATGTGTCCCATCTCCATCAAGCCTCCTCTCGGCCTCAACATCAAGCATCCCGTCGCTCTCAGCCTAATCAGTCCCCTAACCCCAGCGGGAGATAGGGCAGCACAGCCGACCAAGAGATGCTAGAGAGATAATCAATGACCGAAGGCTGAGGGATGGAACTCTAGATGCCCGGGAGATAATCAACTCTAGGAGGGAGAACTCCAAGGAAGATAATGAGCCCCCCAGAGAGGTCGAACTATAGTTTACTCTCGGCATGGATCAACAAGGTACCGAGATAGCATGATCCACTCAGCTACCTCCAGACCAAGGGGGAGACCCACTCAGCCCGCTCGTTCAGCATGCAAAAGTCCCAATCGTCCTTCTCCCCGCAGGCCAGGAGACTCGGGATTGTCAAGGACATCACCCCCTTCATCCATGAGATAATGAATACCCCTATTCCTCCTAAGGTTAAAATCCCTACGTTAGACCCTTATGAGGGAAAGACAGACCCAACAGACCATCTGAACGCTTACAAAGCACAGATGGGAGTTCAAATCGGGTGTGAAGCCTCATGGTGTAGGTTCTTCCCTACCACTCTCAAAGGCATAGCTCAGACATGGTTCAACAACCTTACCCCAGGGAGCATAAGAACGTTTGACATGCTAGCTACTCAATTAAAAAAGCACTTCATCGGTGAGAGTAGGCAAACAAAGATCAACGTTCATCTAATGACGGTGAAGCAAGGGGGAATGAAAGTCTTAAGGAATACATCAAGAGGTTCAACACCGAGTCTCAGCGCATCCCCGACCTCCAAGACAATGTTGCTTTTACAGCCCTTCTCTTCGGGCTCAAGTCTAATAAGATGAAGTTTGAACTTGTCCATGACAAGGTGAGTACCTTCTCTGAATCCATGGAAAGAGCTGAAAGGATCATTGAATCTAGTGAGGTGTGCAAGGCACCCGTGGCAAACAACAAGGGGAAGAGGAAGCAAGAAGATAATTATCATGAGAACAGGAATAGAAGGTCGAGGAGGGCTGAGAGTGATGATGAAGGATTGAAGTACAATGTTGATAGGTATGAGATTTATTTGGACATAAGGCACAAGGCTATTCTTCTTAAGACTAACCCCATGAACACGCCAATTGAGCAGAGGAACAGGAAGCTTTGGTGTGAATACCATAAAGAGTGCGGTCACACCACCCGGAACTGCAAAGACCTTAAGAGAGCCCTTGATAAGCTAGATGAGGAAGGAAAGCTTAACAGATATCTCAAGTCCCCCCCCCCCCGAAGGATAAGCAAAGAAGCAAAGCTTCCAAGGAAGTGCAAGAAGCCCACAGCTCAGCTGACACTAATATGAGCATCAATGTCTTAGCCGGAGGATTTGCCTCCGGGGGGTTGTCTAAAAGGGCACGCAAGGGTCACTTGCGGTCGCTCGAAGAGCCCATCTATGATATCGGCACTCCCTCATCCACCCCAAAGGACCCCCTCATGGTATTTGGGGATGATAAAGGAAAAAAGATTCAAAGGCCTCATGATGACCCCCTGGTGATTCATATGAAGGTGGCCAATGCTAAGGTGAAGAAGATCTTGGTGGATAGCGGAAGTTCAGCGGACATTATCACATGGAAGTGCATTGAACAGATGCGTTTTGGCAAAGGAGACCTCACACCCCTAGAGAAACCCTTAGTTGGTTTTGGGGGAAACATGTGTATCCCTTAGGAACGATCAAGCTGCCTGTTCGTTTGGGGGAAAAGAAGAAGGGGAGGAGCTTAGTACACACGTTCTTAGTGGTGGATACCCCTCTTCCATACAACATGATTATTGGCCGACCCCTTCTTAACAGGGTCAAGGCCGCCATATCAACCTATCACTTGCTCCTTCAATTCGAGACCGATGATGGATCGGTGGGCAAGATATTTTGAGATCAGTTTGAAGAAAGAAAATGCTATGTAGATAGCTTGAATTCACCTGAGAGCTCCGTCAATCAAGAAGACAAGGGGGCCAAGAGGAAAGCGATGGATATTGATGAACCCCAGCTCCCGGTCATGAACATCTACATGGCCGAGAATCCTAAGAAATACGGTAGGCCTAGGCCTATTGAGGAGGATGAGAGCATACCCTTAGGTGATGACCCTGCTCGGACCGTGAGAGTAGGAAAGACCTTGGACCCTCAGCTCAAGGAAGAAATTATTCAAGTACTTAGAGAATTCAAAGACATCTTCGCTTTTATAGCAGATGAAATGTCGGGCATTGACCCCGAGGTGATGACCCATGAGCTAAACATCAAGGAGGGCTACAAGCCCGTCAAGCAGAAACTCCGACATGCTGGGCCGGAGAGAAACAAAGTTGCAGCCGCTGAGGTTAAGAAGCTTCTCGAATCAGGTTTTATTCGAAAATGTCAATATACCGAGTGGCTATCCAATGTTGTGCTTGTTAGAAAGCCAAATGGCTCTTGGCGTATGTGTGTGGACTTCACAAATTTGAACAAGGCATGCCCGAAAGATGATCATCCTTTGCCTAAGATTGATAGGTTGGTGGATTCGACTGCTGGTCACGCCCTCCTAAGCATCATGGATGCCAACGCGGGGCATCATCAGATACCCATGTCAGAAAAAGATCAAGCACACACGGCCTTCATCACCAGTCAGGGGGTGTATTTCTATAATGTGATGCCCTTCGGCCTGAAGAACGCCGAGGCTACCTACCAGCGCCTGATGAACAAAATATTTAAAGGGAAACTAGGCCGGAATGTTGAGGCCTATGTTGATGATATGATCGTGAAAAGCAAGGAAAGCCCAGACCACATAGCGGATCTAAGGGAAACATTCACCACCCTTAGAAAATATAAAATGAAGCTTAACCCCAGCAAATGTGTCTTCGGGGTGCAAGGTGGAAAGTGTCTGGGTTTCATAGTTGATCAACGGGGCATTGATGCCAACCCCAATAAAATTCAAGCTATTCTTGACATGGAATCCCCCCGGAATGTGAAGGAAGTGCAATGCCTTACAGGCTGCCTAGCCGCATTGGGGAGGTTCCTATCCCGATCACCTGATAAGAGTTTGTCTTTCTTCAAGGCCCTTAAGAGGCCTAAGTTCCTGTGGGATGAAGAGGCTAAAAAATCTTTCCAGCAATTGAAGGAACAGATGATGAACACCCCGAAGCTTGTTAGCCCCCTCCCCGGGGAAACATTGTTTGTGTACTTGGCCATATCAGATTATGCCCTGAGTGTGGTTCTTGTTGCTGAAAGAGATGAAGGCCAAGTACCAGTCTATTTTGTCAGCCATTACCTAAGGGCGGCTGAAACCCGATATACTCTCATAGAAAAAGTGGTGTACGCTTTAGTGATGGCAAGCATGAAGTTGAAGCCATACTTTCAAGCACATCCAATCAAGGTACTCACCAGCCAACCGATCAAGAAGGTGCTAGAGAGAAAAAATTATTCATCCCGAATGACTGATTGGTCGGATTAGTTGGCCGATTTCGGTATTGAATTTGAGCCCCGAAAGGCCATCAAGGCCCAAGCCTTGGCTGACTTCATAGCCGAGTGCGCTCATAGGCCTACACCGATGGACACCTCCGCCCCTTGGGCTCTTTATGTGGATGGGTCGTCGAGTAAAGCTGGAAGCGGGGCAGGGCTAGTTATCACCTCCCCGGTGGGAGAGAAGTTTGAATATGCAGTCAAGTTTTCTTTCCATGCATCAAATAATGAAGCTGAGTATGAGGCTCTTATCTTGGGGCTAAACTTGTGCCAATTCATGAAGATTAAATCAGTCCAAGTTTGCTCGGATTCACAACTCAATGTGGAGAAGATGACAAAAGAATTTGAAGTAAAGGAAGAAAACATGAAAGCCTATTTTGAAAAGGCTGAGAACTTGACAAGATCGTTTGACAACTTCGAGATCAAGCACATCCCTCGCTCAAGGAATCAGCAAGCCGATGCTCTAGCCCGCCTAGCTAGTTCAGCCGAGGGGATAGCCCCTCGAAACATCATGTGGGAGGTGTTAGAGAAACCAAGTACCCAAAGATCTGTTGTCATGGACATTGATAGAGGGGAAACTTGGATGGACCAAATCACTCAATTCTTAAAAGGGGAGCTGCCCGAGGACACCCCCGAATTCAAGATGATCAAGAAACAGAGTGAGTGGTTCTTACTTCATGATGGGATCCTCTACAAAAAATCTTTTACTATCCATTGCTGAAGTGCATAACCCCGGAGGAGGGGAACTATGTCCTTAGGGAAATTCATGAAGGAGCATGTGGCAGCCATCAGGGTGGAAGAACTATAGTTGGAACAGCGCTAAGGGTTGGATTCTATTGGCCCACCCTGAAGGATGATGTTGTCAAGATTGTCAAGAAGTGTGAAAAATGCCAAAGGTTTGCTGACATGCCCCATGTTCCGACCAACGCCCTCACAAGTATTCAGTCAGTCCTACCCTTTGATCGTCGGGGCATGGACATCCTAGGTCCATTCCCCGTGGCCTCTAGACAAAGGAAATTTCTTATAGTAGCGGTGGATTATTTCACCAAGTGGATTGAAGCTGAGTCGGTGGCAACAATAATCGATAAGCAAGTCTAAAGGTTCATTTGGTGGAATATCATCACCCGCTTCAGGGTACCCCGCATTCTGATCTCAAACAATGGCCGACAATTCAATAGTGGGCCAACAAAGGAATATTGCAGTCGTTTTGGGATCAAGTCAAGGTTTTCAACTGTGTGTCGACCCCAAACAAATGGCCAAGAAGAAGCGGCAAACAAAACAATATTAAAAGGGCTGAAGACAATGCTGGAAGGCATGAAGGGGTCTTGGGTGGATGACTTGCCCGGGATCTTGTGGTCCATTCGTACCACAATCAAAGAGGCTACGGGGCAAACCCCTTTTGCCTTAGTGTATGGGAGTGATGTCGTACTCCCCGTGGAAGTTGGGATCCCATCCCCCAAAGTTACCTTCTATAACTCCAATCAAAATGATCAGCTGAAGCCCTTGGCCTTAGACTTACTCCCAGAGATAAGGGGAGACGCTTTGCTTCGCTCTATAGCATACAAGCAAAGGATAACTCATTATTTCAACAAAAGATTCAAGGCAAGGCCCCTGGCTAAAGCTGATTGGGTGCTTCGGATGTGTGAGGCCGCTTGCAAGCCCCCGACATTGGGTAAGCTAAGCCCCAATTGGGAAGGACCTTACAAGGTTAAGGAGGTGATCCGCCCGGGAACCTTTCGCTTGCAAACCCCTGATGGCAAGGACCTCCCCCAGCCATGGAATGCTGATAACCTCCGGAGGTTTTATGTTTAAGCATCCTCCTCACATTGATGCCCTAGGGGCAATAAGAACCGATACTAGGAGATCAACTTCAATATAGCGCATCATTGTAATGACTGTTACATTTTTTAACATAATGAAAAACTTCCAGTTGGGATGTTTGCCCCATATATTTTGCATTTTTGTCGTTTGTCTTTTACTTAGTTTATTTTTTGAAACTTTTATATCGCTTATTAGCATAGCCGAGTTCATTTAAATAGCACCACATGCCTGGCACAAGACATTTTGGTTCGCTAACACTTAAGTTTGCTCCAATGTTTGGGGCAAGATGCTAGCCTATACTCAAGCATCTGAGATAGAGTCCTGGCCGAAAGATCACTTATAACTTGGGGCTCGTTTAGTCCCTCATCTTACTTTAAAGATTCGGAAGGCCCGACTCTCATATGACTTATAACTTGGGGCTCATTTTAGCCCCAGGATTGTTTACGTTATCCATAATGAGTTGGAATAACCCAGCTCTCATACAATTCTCAAACTTGGGGATCGCCTTTAGCCCCTAGCTTATTCACATTATCATTGCAAGTTTTATAACTAAGGGCTCGTTTAGCCCCCAGGTGATCATACAATTCTAATAAAAATAACATAAGGCTCGTTTTAGCCCTCATCACGCAACTATGCTAAGGCTGTTCATTAAGCACTAGGGGCCTCTTTTTGGCCCCTAGGGGTGAATTATCAAGTAGTAAAGCAAAAAAAAGAAATAAAGCATCAAGCAAAGCAAAGTAAAAGCCGAATGTGCAAATATACAGGCCAAGTTAAAGATTCAAAGTTCCAACAAAAAATCATAAGTTTTTCATACATCCCAGAAAAGAAGTACATCCTAAGGAAAATCAATCAAATCTAGATCAAAATCCTGAAGAAGCTACTCCTCAATCTCGCCCTGCTCAGCTAGCAGCCTCCTGCACTCCTCCTCCTCGGCTGCGCGAACAAGGTCCTTAACCTTATCCCGCACCGTAGGAAATGAATCCTAGAGACCAAGAGAAGTAAAAGCAATCTCCATGTAAGTGATGGCGTCTGCGATCCCCGCCTCAAAGGCCTCACTT